CCCCAAAACCCCAAAACCCCAAAACCCCAAAACCCCAAAACCCCAAAACCCCAAAAATGCTACTCAATTTGAAATTTAAATTATTAGAACAAAGAACTCATGGATGCCCTAACACTTGACCAAAAGATGTCCAAACTTGCCAAGGATATACAACGCTTGAACAACACAAGCCAAGGAAGCAAGCGAGAGGACGGTAAGCAGACACATCCAGATAATCTTTGGTTTTGGACCAACTAACTGTTTATATAGATGTGATTCAGAGATATAGGAAAACAGCAAAAATTAATCCTGGCCTCACTGACAATTTCAAGTATGGCCATCACCATAGAATCAGAGACAGCACTAGCGTCGAAGCTAGCGACACTGAGCTCTTGGATAGCTTGTTAAGATCAGAGCAGAATTTATCGCATCTTCAGCTTGAAAAGCTGAAGAGATCCCAAGGCTCTTCGCTTGAGATGTCCCACACTCTTGACAAGCAGCTACACAAGCTGACTACTGGGCATCGCCGTGCAGCGATGCGTCAGAAGCAGAAAAGTAAGTTATGCATAACCTGTAGGGAACCATGCCAGGAAAAGATCGAGAGGCTCTGGCTCAAAACATTCAAAAATAAGGAAAAATACCCGCAAAAAGAGGACACATGCCACCAGTGTTCCCTCCTACCTCAGAGGGACAGTCAGTAGTGCCCTTAAGAGGCAGAGTTTGGACAAGGATGAGCTTAAGAAATCCAGAGATTTCGGTAAGCTTCTAGTAGTTATATTATAGTCAATATCTTCTTCAATAAACGTATGACTGACATGCCCCTGACCGAGTCAGAGCTGAGAGACTCTAATAACAAGTTAATGGACAGCAGTTTCTTCCGTAGGTCTTACAGCAACAATAGACTAGTGCCAAGGTATGTCAACCTGGTCAATAATGAGATGAGTGATGAGAACATGACTAACCCTGAGATTCAGATTTTCAAGACCTACAACCAAGAATTTTTGAGAGAGAACAGTTGCTCTCAAACTGGAAATTCGAGGTCTTCGCATTCTCATCACAGAGATATGACAGAGCTAGATATCGACAACAACGAAGAGCTCTGTTTGAAGAGCCTTGATCCTCATTCGAATTTAAACTCTGTAGAGAAGAAAGGAACCGCACAATTCCATAGCCTGAAGAAGTCCAACGAGGACATCATGGATATCTTCGACAAGCCACAAACAATGGTTATTGAGAAAGGTTGCCAGATGTCAAATTCTCGCTATAGAGCTAGATCTAGTGGTACCAATCATTCTAGAATGTCCAACAGTCTCGAAAGAGAGCCCTGTGGGTCCAAAGAGAGGCTAAGTCTGCACAGAGAGACCCTAGAAGGCAGAAGGACTAGCTTTAAGACATCAGATCATGCTTTCTCGACCTATAAAAGTAAGCTCTGTTTCTAACATCACAGATTTCAGAAAAACCTCTGCTGAACTTAACTCAGGAGTGCAGTATGTCTCTAGTTTAATAGAATAGGACCATCGTGCACCAAAATCAGAGCTTGTCTCCATCTAAATTGTCCAGCACAGAATCAATGATCTACTTCAAAGCCAGAAAGCAGCTTGTACAGAAAGAGCAGGAGATTCTTCGTCTAAAGCAGACTCTGCATAATCAAAACTCCAAAGAGATTTCCAAGAAGATCCTGACTGCTAAACTGGATGAGAATACAACACCTAACCAGCAGATAATACCGACTGTTCCAAGTAAGAAATCTTATTAAAGAGACTAGAAACTAGTTTTGTATGTTTCGAAATTTGGGATATCTCTCTTTGCGCTAGTTTAGCATATATTTACTGTAATATACTTGAATCAAAGCATGGATAACATCGCTAGAATTATGGTCAATTATTAGCTTTGCAATCATATTGTTTTATTCTGACCAAGCTCTGTCTAAGAATCTCTTCCTATGCCACCAAATTTTTGAAACCCAAATCTCACTCTCTATAGCCACCTACAAAGCCTACATGAAGCACAAGGAGTTGCAAGGGCTTTCAGAGGAAACTTTGAAGCAGAACCAGGCTGAAATGAAATCAAAAACAGCCAAAATACTCAAAAAGATTCCTCAAAGTGTGCTTGGAAGTTTCCATATCCCAAAATATCTCAGATGCTAATTCAATAAAATTGAAGAAGAGTGGGGTTTTGGGGTTTTGGGGTTTTGGGGTTTTGGGG